AGAAAGAAGATAGAACTAAAAGAAAAAGACAAAAACTAAAATAGTGAGAATAGGTAGAAAGGTGAAACGGAAAATGACTTCTGACTATCTCCAATACAGATACAGTGATGGCCTCTTGAGGAGGAGGCAGGCCACTGCTTCCTTAAGAGCAGGCTGGACCTCCTCTTCTGCAAAAAGGCATTTACCCCCACTTGAACCCAGCTACATGTTACTTCGGGGAGGCCATAACCATCCAGGAGGGACATGGATCTAGCACACAGGTGGCAGCATTCAGCATCCCAAGAACCCTGTCCACTTCCTCACGTGTAATCAAATCCAATTCCATCCAGATGAGACTGGCCTCAATCACCTCCATAGGACCAGCACATTCCAACTGTTTAGATGTTTAGCGTCATCCTTACAACATCCCTGCAAGGGATCCCCTGGCCTCTCCTTACCTAAGAGGGACAGAATCACCCAAAACAGGGCCACCAGGCAACTATCAGTAGATACAACAATGATGGAAAAATAAGCAGATTTCACTGCCCTTATTGCCACAAGGTATTCCTTAATATAGGCTCTCATATGGGTTCAGTCAGACTCACTTTTTTGTCAAACATTATAGGAGAAACAGCCAAAGCACAAGGAAATAAACAAGTAAACCAACAACAGCAATATTCTGTTGGCTGCTGTTTCTTGCCTTTATGCCTTGCCTTGTTTCTGTTTTACCGTATTAACTTTGACATACCATATCTCAAAGGAAAATTATTTCATCATTTTGATAGTTTTTTTTTCCTTGGAGGGCTTTTTAATATTATACATTAGATGCTTTAGAAAATTGGTTCCCAAACCTTATTTGTGCAGACCACTATATTATCACTGACAATTTTTGAGGGCTACCTTATGAAGCAAGGGTTAGCAAAACAGTGCCTATGGGATCTCTGATACATTTCCTCCCCAAATGGCATCCACAAGACCTCAGTATTAAATAAGAATAATTATTTTTAAAACATTAAATGACTTATGAGACTTTTGGTGTGAAGTTTTGAGCAAGAACACCTAACTCCTGTTTATTGGGAGACCTCCCAAGATTTTCCTATTTTATAATTTTATTTTTATTTTGGCACCCACACTAGACAAATACACACATACATTGGTGGTGATCTATGGTTTGGGAACTCTGCTTTAGAAATAACACCAAATTGCGGGAGGGAGGGAAAGAGGGAGATAGACAAATAGACAGACAGACACAATGAACCTAGGCCAGCCTTTCCCAGTTTGGCTTCTTCCTGCTAAGTTGGACTTCTAGAATACAGCCAGCATGTAACAGAAAAAGTGAAGAGAGTATTCCTCCTCACTTTTTTGGTCCATTCCAGTGAAGCTGATGGTGAAAGTTTATGTTTGCAAAGTCTTTCTGAACAGACAGAAGTTCTCTGGCAGAAAGTCACTGTTTATAGGGCAATCAAACCTATTGCTTGAGAAAAAAAAAAAAATCCCAGAGTCTATACAAATCATTGAAAAATGTAATAAGTAGTAACATATGAACCCTTGTTATAAGATATAATATATTTCCATTATATCCTTGACTATATCTCATTAATTTTGCCACTGATACTAGTATGGAAAAAAAGTAAAGTATTTGACGATACAAATAGAATATCACAGATTTCTAGAGTTACATATCCCATCCAGCAGCATTTGGTTGATCTTCTCTGGGTCTAGAAGCTAACATGGCTAATTAATATTTGGACAGAAGTCCACCAAGTAATACTGGGCTGTAAGCTAGACTGGGAAGTCAAAAACATCTCAAAAACATTCTGCAGTCAAGAGAATTGCTCAGAGGTACCATTTACCTTAACGGCTTGAGAACCTAAAGCAAGGGAAGAAGATTATTCTGTTCATATCCAATTTGTGGGCTTCCCTCAGGTGTCAAACTGACCAATGGAAATAGAAATATGGCCTAGCTAACCCTTTCTGGTGGTCTGATCCAGCACAGTTCCATCTGTCCTTAAGTTCATCCATAGCTACTTTATTGTTAGTGTAACAAATAACAACTTGCCTCTAATAGACCTGTTATCTCTTACTGAGAAAGTTAATGTATCTCAGCAGGTAATTATATTTACCCCCAAGATATTCAGTTTATAATTCTATTTCCAAATTGTTAAATCAAGCCACAGCAAATAAGAAGACTGCATATAATCTCCGAAGTACAACAACAACAAAGACTAATATGAGATATTTTGTCCTCGTTCCTAGTGCATGATATAAAGATGGAGGGGCAGGGGGGAGAGAAGACATTTATTTCTCCAAAAAAGTATAAAAGAGCAAAAGTACATCAGCTTATTCCAAAATCATCTTTCACATGTTCAATAAAATAAGAAATGCTTTAAAAGAAGATATTACATACACATACATCCAAGGCAAACTTAAAGATTCCTTTAAAAAAACATTTAAGCTGAATTCTCCAGCATTCTTCTACCCAGCTGCTTCAGTCAGGCAGAAAGCTTCATATATAAGAAACTTAACTTTTTATTCCCCATAGGCCTCTCCCCTAATGGCTTTACTGGTTACACAGTTAACAAGAAAATGGCATAATAAATATTTAAATCATACCCTCAATCTTGAGCATATTTTGCCCCATTTCTCATCATGTCTACAACTGAATTGCCCACATTAGTGGTGAAGCCATCGCTTTAAGCCTGTCAAGCTCAAAAGAAAAACCAAAGACTAAGACTCTTAAGGTCTTTTAAGAAAATGTAATGCCCACTTCCTACAGGTCATAACACTTGTCAGTTTAATTCCAGGCTACTTTTTAAAAGCCTAAACAACAGCCTTGACCCAGAAACCATTTTGCCCCCACCCCAAACTCCTTATAAAGACATCCCTAAGAATCAATATTTTGAAACCATGTAGTTTATGTGCCAAAGATTAATAGTATTCCAAAGGTCAGGTAAGATCTACACCGTGACTTTGTTCTATGAGAACTTCATTAGATCAGTTCTGCTGATCCTTTCAAAGAACCTGTCATAAAGGATTTAATCAATTGTCCTTTCCAAGAAATAGTATTGGTTTGAAAAAATACAAAATATTTTAGCATATTTACCTTTAGATCATTTTTATACTCTTTTTATAGTGTTTG